TATTATCAGTAAGATAAAATGAAATTTTGATTACAATGCCTATAAAATAATGCTAATACATAAAAGTACCATACAAGGAAAAAATATTATTGTGTTTGGACAAATGCTTCACTTAAGAGTACAAAAATTAAGAAATATTCAAAAGATAAATATATATTTTATTTAAAAATGGCAGAAGGAATATTTACAATATATATAAAATACAAAAACGTCTTCACTTCTGCCCTTTCCAACACAAGGAAGAAGTATGAAACAATCTTCCTATGAAGACATTTTTGTATCTTCTGTATTTTATACATATTGTAAATATGCTGTCTGCCATTTTAAAATTAAGTATACAGTTTTTACAAGATTTTATGGTTTATCATCATTGAACATTTTTAACTATTTTGCATATTGTAGCAGTGTCTTAGCCTACAATAAAAGGTCGTCTCTGCGAAGGAAGACTGTTAGTTCCTTCCAATAAATACATTAGACAGTAAACAAAAAAAATGCTATTGTTATTTTGAAATGCACAATAATTTGCCTAACATTTAAAATTAGTTACGGTATGGATCATAAAAGGAAAGGAAATTGATGCGTCATGAAATCTTGATCTTCAGATCAAACATATCAATTTAGAAATACAGTAGAGCCCCTCTAGTCCGCCCTCGGCTAGTCCGTCACTCCAGTTAATCCAACTGTGGTCGGAGTCGAGAAACTTGTCCCGACTCGTCAGTGACTTACCGTCAGTGGCATTCTTCTGTGTTCGTTACAGTATATGTTTTACATTGTGTGTACGTATACAGTTTTGTGTGTGTTTTCCACATGTCAGGAGTGAAACGTAAACATGTTACTCTTTCATTAAATGAAAAATTAGCAGTGCTACAAAGACTGGACAAAGGGAAGATTGTTTATTTTACTTTTTTCTGATAATCCGACCTTTTTTGCGTTTTGACCATACCCCCAGTCCCAAAGGTAATGGATTACAGGGGTTCTACTGTAGTGTAATTATGTGTAGTCCTAATATGTAAATATCTAATTAAATATTCAAAATTGCATTAGATAAACTGAGTAATAGCATACCAAGTAACACCTAATGTTACACAATGATCATAAAATCAGAAATGTTAACTTAGCACCTTAATTAATCAATTATGAAACAAAAGTTTGACAAACTTCAGGATACAATTTAGATTTATTATTGAAAAAAGTATATTTTTGTATGTAAATTTTTTCTGAATGAAAACATTAGTTATTTTGTTGTAGCTAATAATGCTATGTTAGAAAAAAAATTCTAAATTTTATATATACACAGTCTGTTGTTAAAGATTATTCAGAGGAAAACTTACAATTCACATAGATTGAATTGTATTATTGTAGATAGATATGATATTAACAATTTCCACAGAATATGAAGTTTACTATTTGTATTTATATAAATTAAATGATTTTATTTTGTTGATATTAGAATAAAATAAATAAAATAGTGAGAAAGTTTAGAACTGTATGTTTAATATGATTATTATAATTCTGTTGTTAATTAAAAATAAAAATGATATGTTGAAAAAGATAGCGTATACCACTACGTTGGTGTTACATAAAAATTTATTTTGCAAGTACTTTCGACAGTATATATTTTTGTATTATTGTATAATTTTGTAGATTGTATATGTGTAATTTAAATTTTCCATGCGCATATGGGACAAGCAATTTGAAAAAACATTAGTTGATGTTCTTTTTCTTTGAATTCAAATGTTTTGTTCTCTATGAATGATTCTGCCTGAAGATGACAGTTATATACTGTCGAAAGTACTTGCAAAATAAATTATTTTTACGTAATGCCAACAGACAGTGGTACATGTTATCATTTTCTATTATTATTTGACGTGTATAGCTATTTAAAACTTTATTACTAAAATGATAATATATTATAATTCTATTACTGTATACAGTTATATCAACCTAATTCAAATTTACAAGGTAATATTAATTATTTTTGGATGGCATGATTTACAGCTTAAAGTATTTAGAATATTACTTATGATCCATCCAAATAGTTCCTGGTAAATTCACTAAGCAAGCCTTTTCCAGATTCTCTGTCTCAAAAGTTTTATCACCACATTACTATGTATCTTTCTTACACATTCAGCATCATAAAATTAATTTCCTGGAAATATGATTTGAAATACAGTATATAATAGCATACCAAGAAGGTTAACAACAACAAAAAATATAGCATTTAAATATAACAATCCATATAATAATAGAAAATTTATAATAGTATGAATTATAAATATTCTCTTAGGTATGTAATCAAGAAAGTATTAGAAAAAGGATGGAAAACTTATGGTATGCATATCCAAAGTGATATGGCAAAAGTAATTCTTGGCACATACCATATTTGAGCTGCAATTTTCAAATTGCAGACCAATAAATTCCCACTGTCATCCATCTGTCCTTTGTTAATCTCAAGAACAAAGTTAGATAGATGATAATAAAGACCAGATATGGAAAGTGTATATAGTTAATCAAGCCTCAGACCTCTTAAGAACTTCTGGCTGGACTGGAAGTAACCTGATTTTAATTCAAAAGTTAGATATTTGGTATTGATTTATATATATTGAAAGCTCATATTTGAACTAAAATATGATTAAAAATTTCAACTCGGCATTGTGATGACATCACGATAAGTAATTGCTTCAATTCAAACACAAATTATTTATAGTATTTATACAGACACTTAGCAAATCACAGAATTAAATTTTATTCAGTTGACTAAATAAAATTTAATTCCGTGATTTGCCAAGTGTCTGTAAAAATACGATAAATAATTTGTGTTTGAATTGAAATAAATTACTAGCACGGTTTCAAAAATACCAGAAAAAGTAATTGCTTGTTTAAATTTATTTTTAATTGTGTAATATTCACAATAATAACAAACATTAGACTAGTTATGGATAGTAACATTACAATAACTATTCTTTACACTCTGAAACTGTGTTTTTAAATTTTCTTTGGTGCTCAAACACAAAATTTATGCTACTATTTAAACACTTTGCGTTTTGTCATCTTTATTCAGTTGATACGAGTATTACTACACGTTTCAGGCTCACACTGCCCCTCATCAGTCAACATTAAATTTCCTACAGGCTTGAAGGCTTACGCATATATAAAAGAAATGCAGTTTCCTTGTACCTATTCAGCATATATGATATCCTGCTGTTGAGCCATATGCGTTATCCTTTATTGATGAAAATCACCGTTTCAATATTAAACTTGTTCTTTACACTCCGAAACTTTTTAAATTTTGTGTTTGAGTGCCAAACAAAAAGAAAATTACAATAACTATGTTTCATCTAGATGACATTATACATTTTCCAAAAGATTAATAAATATGGAAAGTGATGTTTGCAAAAATGTCAGTATTTTTAATTAGGTCCTTCTAGGTAATGTTACTAACTCAAAAATAAAGTTGAAGTTTCAACAGAATTATTAAAGATGCTATTTATTACTTCAGCTAATAAACATTGTATGCTCTTAATCCTTAAGACATTTAACCCTAAACAGTAAGTTTTTTTGCAAGTCACTAAGAACTATAAATAAATAAATAAAGTTTATCACAGAAATAGTTAACAGCTAATAAAGTTTGGGAAGTTCACTGTCAATTTCTTGAAGAAAAACAAGCAAAATAAAAAGTTTTAATATTCACTAATACCACTAAGCAAAAAATAAAAAAAATCTAAATAAGATTTAACATGAGTTTTATTGTACCAAAATAGAAATTTGGCATCAGTACACATTGACAATAGACTTAAGTGTGCAACCATTCACACAATTTCATGGTGACAGACAGTAACAATCCACAAGAGAAAAAAAAATCTCAGTAATTCCATAACCGTCAAAATAACAGACACAATGCTAGCGATAATCCATACAGAACCTTCATAAGAAATATTTTATTAGAACTTTAATGTTCATACAATTTTACATTTGGATCAGATCAATGTGCAAAAATCTCTGTTGACATATCAGTATAGGAAAAGTATAAATATGAATATCTAACTGTTTATTACTATTTTAATAATCCATAACATGCGTATATATATGTTATCTTAACTTTGCATGCGTACGAATTATGCCGATAATGATGATACGAATAAGATCAAAACAAATTTAATGATAAGGAAACAGTATACCAGTCGATCCCCCTATAACACTTTTGATTATTCCATTTTATATGAATTCCATGTTGTACGAGTCACTTAGATTTTAGAAATACATGTGTTGGCTGTGAACGGTTCACATATTTGTAAAATTAAGTGACTCGTACAACATGGAATTCATATAAAACAGAATAATCAACAGTGTTATAGGGGGGTCGACTTGTAAACATTGCAATTTAAGTTATCAAGATGATGGCACCAGTGTCCCTCGCCATATTGTATCAGAGCATTTTTCGATTTGGCATGGCTAATTGAAAACATTCCATTTCCATAATAACAATAATAAAACAAACATTGCACGCAATTTACTAATATCTATTTTTTTTGCATTTAATTCCTCTAAATATATTTCTTCAAGCTTTTCCCCTAAAAAGTTTTCTGCGGACGTACACCAGTCGAAAAAACGGAACTTGCAAATTAAAAAGAAAACAAAAATAAGAAAAATCGCGTGATTTAATGGATTATAAACTTTTACCAATTGTTTTTAAGCGTATAGTTCCAGTATTAAAATACCGGAGTTCTATATTCTCTAGTAAAACACATTAAACTTAAATGCGAGGCGCCAACAAATATGGCGGAGAGCTCCGATAATGTCTTTTCGTACGCCTTTTAAAGGGGAAAAAAACAATTTCCTTTCACGTTATGTACTTTATACAGTTTTTAAATATGTACAAAAAGGCAGTTTTCTTCTTATTTAATTATATAAATTAACCGAATCGCTTCGTTATACAGTAGTGAGATAATATACATTAAATCTTATAACACTACGTCGTATTAACAATGAAAAGGACTCACCTAAAGCATGAGATCAAACGTAGTAAAGATAATAAAACTCATTAAAATTAGTGAACAATCACGCGAAAACACATTACTCTTATTTACAAAATGCATACGAGATCAGCTTTAAATCATAGTCAACCCCTGTGTCGTCGCGAACCGGACGTGACGTCACAGAGAAGTTGGCTGTGTGCCGAAAAAGGCGTTGCTAAAGCTTATTTGAAATACGTCACTACTTACGTAGTTTCTTAATTAATTAAACTCGAGAAAAGAGACCGAATTCGAATTTTTAGTTCCTCTTTTTATAAAAAAATAAAAAATAATTAAAAAAATATAAATAATTTATGAAATTAATCGAATTTTACAATATAAATCTTTTTATTTCTCGCCATGTAAATGCATTCCTCGAGGGAATTTTAAATGGATTAGAGATATTTGATCTCATATAAACCAGTTCTCTATTATTATTATTATTATTAATTTTTTTAAATACAAAACAAGTTACAGGATTGTAAAAAAATATTATATTATGTATTTTTATAGTATTTCGAAATAAATTACTCGTGTAAACATATTGGTTTCTGTCGAACCGTCGTAAAACGAACCGTGGAATATCCGTACGTTCTGTACGATAAATTGAGGAAGGAGGCAATTATTATACAGTTCGATTTTAGTAGCGAGTAAGCGATATCGCAAAGGAAAACCACGAACGAGCGAGAAGCGAGAAATCTCGTTGGCGAGAGCGAATTTCTGGCTCGCCTCAAACGATGACTACTGAGGCAGAGTAGTAGAAAATGGCTTCTTTTGGTGAACAAGATGGAAAATTAATTAATACACCAGGAAATATGAGACACACATCTTCACTGATCACGCGAATCAAAACATTTTAATGTCAAAATGAAACCGAGTAGCTTCAACGCCAACGTGTGACGTCATCATCTCAAGGCCAATTTCTCGCGAGAAAAAAAAAAAAAAAGAGCGTGAAACGTCATCACCTCTTCTCGCTCGCTCGCACGCGTAGTCGCACCGTAGATTCCTGGAAATACCATTTAAATTAAATAATAGCATAGTATCATAACGTTCTGTCTAAAGCAGTTTAAAACCCTCAAAGTCAGGGAAAAACGTTAAGAAACATTTAAAATACCCACATGTGCGGTCGTAGAACGTGCATGTTAAATGTTCATCGTAACGATCAAAATAAAACATTGTAAGGATCTATATAAATCGGAAACTCGGTTGCTGTGAAGCGACAATCGTGGCGAACTTTGAACTCGAATATGGTCACGGCATCTTCACGACATTGGCCTTGCCGAGTTCTACGTATTTGCAAAAAAAATCATGTTTAGTTATGGTGCATTTGTTTTAAACTTCGATGGCAGGCAAAATACTAACTGACATACTCAATACTCCATTCAATAAATTGAAAGGTCTACTGTATTTGTACATATACATATATAAATACAAATGCAAGCTGGCAAAGATGTCGGATATTTATGGCATTTCATACAGTGATAATAGAAAATACAGTCGACCCTCTATAGCACTGTTCATAATTCCGTTTTATATGAATTCCGTGTTGTACGAGTCACTTAGATTTTACAAATACGTGAGCCGTTCACAGCCCGGCACACGTATTTGTAAAATCTAAATGACTCGTACAACACAAAATTCATATAAAACGGAATTATCAACAGTGTTATGGGGGGTCGACTGTATTGTACAATAAAACCTGTTGAAAACAGAAAAATATTCAGTACCGAGCAATGTTGGTTTATTTACTATAAACTTGATAAATCCAGCGAAAAATTTGAAATTTATTGTACGATTTCTCAATTTAAAAAAAAAAAAAAAATGGTTTATAATTTCACTAAAAGAAGAAAACAATGATTTGTAACCTTTCGAAAGAATTTTTATCATAATTTTATAATTTGATTAACTTAAATGTCAGGTAAATTACTTTACAAAACACATAATGACTAAGATAAATTTCAGTCGCAATCGCAAATTTCGTGCTAAAACTATAAATCAAACTTGCAGTAAAATAATATGAAAACATGTTTTTTTCCCCTTTCTTATTATTTATTACTAGAATATGAAGACTGCAATGCGTAACAAGATAGCCGTTGAAGCATTAGTAATGCAATTGATAAACACGTAATATTAAATTTTGTCATCGATTTATTTATTGTAGGTTCTGTTTCGAGAAATCTAGCGTGTAGTAAACCTTCGAATTGCTGTAGATTCACAGAAAAGATAGAGAAAATATTTAAATATACGAACTCAAACTGCTGTTTAAATACCGTAAAAACACGTCTCATCGTGTCGTTACTGTATTAAATACAGAAATATTACGTATTCTAATTCTTTACACCGATAACAATTGGGTTACAATTTGAAAAAAAAAAATGCTTTATTTAATAAAGCATAAATAAAACATTTTTGACATACCTTAAGCGACTATAATATTTAAATATTTAACGTTTAGATACATATAATGTTATTATTTTTATACAGTCTTACCTAACTATGAAATGTAACCTTTCGTAATAAAGAAATTGTATTAAATAAACAACTAATTAATACTGAACGTAATCAAACACGCTGTATAACACAACTTGTAAACATATTACTGTAAACATAGCGCTCTTACTGTTAATATATGACTGGCACGAATTTTGAATGATTCAATATGGCGTATGCTAATGCTAATCTCTTCCTTATTTTCCATAAACAGCCTTTTTTAACTATATTCTTTTATAAATATCCTCGAACTGTATACAATTGAAAATCCACGCATAATCTTCAGTAAAGATAAATCAAGTAAAATGTTATTATCCCATACAAATTTACTGAATGGCATTCAGTAAATACAATGTGGCATTGTGTTTACATAAACTGCATTGTATCCGACGAGTGTTATTGATAGTTGTGATCCCTACCACCCACTATATTATTTTCTATCATTAGGTTTAGATAAAATTAATTTTTTTAGCATTAATTAATCCCAGATCCTTACCAAATGCCCGAACATCTAAGTGGCACACAGCTCACAAAATACAAGACCAGTTCAATTTCTATTGAAGACCAACGTAAATTGGATGTTTAGTTATCGATTAACCTCACTCGTATGATTATACAGCATATTTTTTTACTTTTATCTTCATGTGACAACATGGTCTATGGAATATGACGTCAGTTTACTTTCATATCAAATAGTGTAAATTATACCTCGACTTTCACTTTTGTTTGTTTAACAGAAAAAACTTTGTGTTTTTTCTATTATATTAAATGTGGAAAATAATTGATTTTCATTAGAATAAAGTTTGGCTTGGTTTGATTTATTTGGTTACAGCAATGGTACACTGCAGAATGGATGACGTTTATGGGAAACTGTCCCTTATTTGGTGTTACTAACATAGAAAAACACCGGTTGGCTAGGAGCGAAGTTAGTGCCCACAGTGCAGAAAAATCGATTATAAACTAATTTTATATGAACACAAGTAAATCGGTATTTTTTTGTGTACTTTTATTTGTTTTCTGGGAAGTGTCTAGCTGTGCCGTGAGTGAAAACAAATTGCAGAGTATTGTTTTAAAATAGTAAAAGCTATTGTTTTGGTATGAGTGAAGTGCTGAAGTTCCGCAAACATTCCATGGTTACGTGTATATTTGAGGGTTGCAGTTAAAATGGTCGGGTGCCACTTGACCTGACATTTTCAGAAAATGATCAGACCGGGTTAAGTATCTGGAAAAACAAGCCTTTATGGGCATTTTCTCTCGAATAACAATGAAACGAGTAATACGATTAAAAAACCAATCACAATCAAATTTAATTGTAATGCTACCTATCGATCATCGATCTTTGATCCGTTGTTATCAGATAGATTGCAAGTTAGAAAGAGCGATATTACTTTACTCCGAAGGTCAATTTTTAAGTAGCAAAATATTTGATCACTTCCTTAAAATCGATAAGCTAAAAAAAGACAGTTAGTCACGCGACAAAACAAAAAAATAAGATGACGAATAAATTACCTAATTTAAAAAGAAATTAAATGTATTTCGTGAACGGGGAATCAGAACGTAAATTCCATTTAACTTCGATACGTCAAATAATTTATGAATATTAGTGGCAAACATGGAATCTCTTCTTATAACTGCATATCGTATGTTGTAAAGTTGTACGTAATTAAAATTGCACATATGAAACCATACTTGGTGTCATTAGAAAAAAATGTAAAGTTGGGGTTTCGCAGGACCCTTCAGAAGTCGGGGCTCAGGGTGCGAGCCCGGTGTTCCCGCCGTTAAATCCGCCTCTTGAAGTAGCAACAATTGCAAGTGAATCGCGTTAATTTTAAAAGATATTTACACAAAGCATGTAACTACTTTGCTTCGAGTGTATCCAAAGCGAGCGAGATGGACGTATGATGCGTCGGAGCGAGTCACCAACACAAAACAATATACGGACAAGTCCGACCCGCAATGGGGTCGGCAGTGTGGATGAATTTTCATTATTGAATCTCTGCTCTGAGAGCTTTATTCTCATACTCATTGTGAATTTGTTCGGGCTTACAATGTCATAACCAAGGACAGAAAATGGGTCGAATGTACGGTCATTGCAAATAAAAGAACGAAAAATTTCAGTTTTAAATGAGAACATTAATGGCGCGACATTGCGGAAACTAGCGACGAGGAGGGAAGAAAAAGAAGAAAAGCTCACCGCAGGGAACGTCCTTTCGAACAGTTGCTTCGGGCAAAAGAACGTTCCCGACCGAATCGCCACCATAGGAAAAAGATAAATTGATAAGATAAATTGTCACCAATGGCTGATCATCCACCATCTCTTTTGAATCGGTCCGAAACATTTGCGATTCCCGTCCTGGAGGTCGACGCCCGAATTATATTCCGAGTCGAGGAAGCGGATACTCGAAACCCGAAAGTAAATGGCGTCACGAAAATAACCACTTATACCACTTCTCTATTTGGCAATGATAGAAATCGGAACGACTTATCAGAATTCCAGATGAAGAAATTATCGGAATTCCCGATAAGAAAAGATAAATATTGTATTAAATCATTCGGTGTTTTCAAAACACGATAATTTTATCTGTAAATTATCCGCGTATTTAAGATTATTTTTTATTTAAAACAATGAGTTAGACGATAATCATCACA